ACACACACGCACACACACACACGAAACGTGTCGGCGGTTGCGTAGAGCTGGACATAAAGTGGCCATGAAATGAAAGACAGAAGTGAAATTCCTTGCGCTTGACAGCTAGACACGCGCGCCAGCCGGGGGACCGGGCCGGGCCAGTTCGCCGCGTCGCGAGGGAAACCTTATTCGGGCTCGGGACCAGGGGTTTGGGTCAGCCGGCGAAAATGACGGCTAGACTCGCCTCCGCGGCCACCGAGGCCACGTCAGTGGCGCTGACGGCGTCCTGGAGAGGCCCAGTCCAGGGGCCCTGAAGGCGTCGAAGTCTAACAAGCCTAACAAGTCGTACTGTGCCCCTGTAAGTAGGCAACTTTTGCAACCCCCCCCCCCTCTTCCCCCCAAACCCGTCTCTGGATCCGCCCTTGGCCGGTCCAGAAGGTCCGCGCGCACCGGACGCCGCATTCCGCGACCATTCAACAAACATCCCGCTCGCTCGCAACTCACTCGCATTTTTTGCCCGACGATTATCAAGCTGCCACGCCGCGCGTCCCCGCGCCACAAAAATGCGGACCGACTTCATTCATGCTCCTCCTCCCTCAAGGCCCTCGTCGCGGCCCTCGTCGCGGCCCTCGTCCGGGCCCGCAAGCCGCCGGGGCACAACAACCGCGCATTTTTCGCGACGACGGCGCGCCGGCCGAGAGCGACCACCGCACTGTGGGCCAGAAGACCGGTGGAGGCGGACACAACTCTAGACGCGTTTTGAACTCCAGAGTGGTTGAACAGAGCGATCCCTCGGAATCCGGCGGCCGGTAGTCACGGCCACTACACGAGGAAGGACCACCGGCGTCAACGCGCTCCCCAATTACCCGAAACTTTCTCACCCGCCTGTACACTACACTAGTCGGGTCCTTAGAGTGGAGGCTTCCAGTGGAGGCGCCCCGGCGACAGCGAATTCGACAACGACACGCCGTCTCGTCGATAAGGGGAACTGGTCCTGCCTTTCGAGAGCTTTCTCAGGGAAAACGGACAAAGCAGACGAAAACGAATCTCGGAATCAGTCTGAAGACGGACACCATTCGTCGGGAAGCCCTTCTGAGTGTGTGAGACAGCGTGAGTGTGTGCGTGTGAGTCAGAGAGAGAGGGAAAGTGGTCGCGTCGCATTGCGCTCATTCCTCGAGGGATGAAACGATTAATTGCCGAATTAGGGCAGGTCACTTAATTACCCGGGAATGTGCAATAAGATTTAAAGTTCCAGACCGAGAGCGACGAGGAGGAGAAGAGGAAGAAGAAGGAGGGGCGATGGATTCCTTACGACGGCGACCTCGCTGACCCTTGACCAGCCCCGCAACACGGCGCGGCGCAACTCCCGCCGGACTCCAACTAGAGCACGAACTACTACCGCGGAGCATACGACACACCAGTACCGACCCGGAACACCACCCCGCCCCCAACCGGGGCGCGGTGCCAACATGCAAACCGAAACCCATACTTCCTCCATAAGGGACTATTGAATTTTTTTTCCCAGTGCCGTTGGCAGCCGTGGGTGACGCACGTACCGAATGACAAAGGGTACCGACCGCGGCGGCCCCGCGGCGTGGCGCGGCGTAGACCCACAAGGATCCACGACGGCCCGACAGGACCCAGCAGACTGAAAGTCGTTTTCGTCGCGCTGTCTCCCTCGCACCGACGCGGGACGGCCCGGGAGAGTGAGGGAGGCAGAAAACGACTCTCGGAACCAGTCTCCAGATCCTAATGGTATTGTAATGACACTGCTCTGTCGGCCCCGCCGCGCCGCACGCCGCCGTGGCGTGGCCCAGCGCTCCCAGGACGGAGCGGAAACAGCGGCCGACACCTTACAAGGAGCAGCGGCCTCGTGTGAGCCGAAAACTAGTACAAATCCCCTCCGAAAAAGGCCGCGGACGGCCGCCCACATCAAGGGGGGGCTTGTTCCGAGACGAAATTTGGGAAATTTATGGACCGAGCCGCGACGAAAAACAAAACCTAAGCGGCCAAGCGTCACGTAACAAGGCAGAATGGGTAAAAATCGTGAACAAAACTCTTAGTTTTGAAATCATTTTCCGCCCTTCTTGAGACGTAATTTGGAAGAAACTAATTCAAGAACAACCTAACCAAGAAATCGCGAGAAGTGGGAAGTGTAAAAATCAATGCAGTAAGGCAGGCACGGAGGGTTTTTTTGGTCGTGTAAATGAAACCCAAGTCCAAACGGCTCCCAAGACTGACGCCACTCGCCTCTCCCGATAGAATCAAGCTACCGCCCGACTCCGGACAATCGCAACGTAGAGGAGCCAAAAGAGCGAGCGAGAGCAGCGAGTAAGAGAGAGACCGCGCGAGACAGCGAGCTGAATACCCAGCTCGAATCAAAAGGCCCCCAGAAGTCCGGTTCGGTTCCCTTCGTCCAGGACAGGAAGGCACAAAAGCAGCGGAGCGAGGAAGAGACGCGCCGTCTCTCTCGTCTTGCACACCGCGCCGCATCTGGAGCGGGAGAGCGAGAGAGACGGACTGGCCGCCCGCCAGGCGGAGCGCAGCTCAGCGCAGCGCCCAAAACACATCATGATTAATATCAAACGTCACAATATCGCGGCGAGGCGGGCGCGGCCGTCAGGCGATCCATGATGGAGCGGCGAGCCGGCCGGGCCGAGCCGGGCCGAGCCGAGCCGAGCCGAGCCGCGGGGGCGTCGTCAGCGACGGCGTCAGCGACGCCTCAATGGCGGTAATGAAAGGGCGAGATCCCTTTGCCGGCACCCCGCCGAGCACGCCGACGACGAGCACGCCGACGACGAGCACGCCGACGACCGCCGCCAAAAGTCCGCGCCCGCACCGACGCAGGCAGGACGCGGCGGCGGCACTAAACGACGCGCCGATGAATAAAAACACGCAGAGCATCACGGCGGCGCAGTGATTGATCAAGGCCATCATGGAGCTAATCAAGACGGATACCGCCCGCATAGCGCGCGCCCCGCGTCGCCCGCGGCCAGCGTCGCTCCGTCCCTGTCGCACTCGTGCGGCGTCTCGTAGGGGTGCGAGAGAGACAGAGATACTGACGAGACGCGCTCAGGCGTTGCGCGGCGGGCCAGGACGACGGCGACGACGACGCGCGCGACCCGGACCAATCCGAGATCCGATAAATGACGCTCCTTCCCGCGGCAAGCTCTCGCGGAACCGAGTGAACGTCAGTGAGGCCGCCGTCGGGAGGCCGTGGAGGACGTCGAGGCCGCCGTCAAGGAGGCCGCCGTCCAGGCAGACGACGGCCTGGCGCCAAGTCACCACACGTGCGGGCATTCGCGGACCACCCCGTGTTGGCCGTGTTTCCTGTTCGCCCTCCCCCGCGCCGCTTTCGGCTCGACAGCGCCAGCCGCCGCGGCCCCGCACTGCTAAAAATATGCCTTCGAGGAAAAGGAACATGTAGGCGACGGGGCCGCGCAAGTGCAGCGCCACCGGCAGCCACATACCGGCGCGTCAAAGTAGTTGATGAGTTTGTGTTTTCGAGATGATGAATGTCGGGCGTGCGCGACACGCCGGCGTGTCACGGCCGGGGCGACACGCGCGTGCCTGCGCCCGCCTTCGGCCGCCGCCCCGAACACTATCCGTTTCGCAGATGAAGTGGCAAGCGGCGACCTCCCGCCCCCTTCCCCCCCTCCCCCGTCCCCAGACCTCCGAGACGGCCGTCTGACGTATTTCCATTTCCAACTGACGTGGAGGCAGCGTGACCCCGGACACGTCACACAGCCAACAAGACGGAGAGGGGAAGGGGGGGGAGAAAGGGGAGGGGCAATGCGAGGCTGTTCACACGGGGGGCCTCGGTCTTTTATACAAATGATGATTCCGGGAGAGCAGGCCGAGCTTGCGGACTCGTTTCTCTGTCCCTCTCGCACCGACACGAAGCGGCCGTGAGTGCGAGAGAGACAGAGCGAGCGCCTTGGCACCGCCGGGCTGCTGACCCTTCGCGGCAGGCGATATGCTGACACAGGTCCTTCCGCTAACAAGCCTACTTTACCCTGCTCGACTCTCTCTCGCTCTCTCTAGTACTCGCGTGCTGAGGACAGGAGGGCCTCTCCACCCCCATCCCCTCCCCAACCCCCGCCGCGCACATACTGAGTGCGTGCTTCAAAGATACACCGCACACAAGTCAACCAGGGTCAGTGTAAGAGGCTGCAAAAAAAAAAATGGAGAAAATAAAAGAAAAACACAAACGAAAAAAAGCAGAAAAATAAGCATCTTTCTACGCTGGGATTTGAACCCGGGTGAACGTGACAACGAAAGTAGTTACGCCGGGAGCGTCTTTAGCAGTGCAGTGCCTTTAGCAGCGTCATTTCATTACTTTGCCTCGTTCGATCAACGGCAGACAAAGCGAGACGAACAGACGACGGACGGATGGATGCACAGACAGACAGACAGACAGACGGACGGAGGCGTGGCGGAGCAGGTGACTGACTGAACATTATGATGGACAGGGAGCGGCGGCCAGGTAATTGAAACTTGGAGCGAAAGAGAGGCGAGAAGAGAGAGAGAGAGAGAGAGGAGAGAGAGAGAGAGAGAGAGAGAGAGAGAGAGAAAAGGAGGAGCAAAAGGACGACGACACGAGGTAATGGAAACAAAACCCGAGGACGTCCTGGAGGGAGGGAGTAGTACGCGCCGTGTGTGCCAAACCGATGGCGAAAAAAGGGGGACAACTTTCCAGGCGCCCCCTGCAGTGCCCCCTGCAGGGCTCCCGGGCCGCGATAGTTTAACCCCATCAGTGGCCGGGCCGGGCAGACGCCGGGACGGCCAGGGCGGCCCCGTCGAGCGAGCGCGGGGCTTCAAAGACGGGGCGCCCGAGTTGCCGGAGTTGGCGGGGGGCCGCGGCCCCGCCGGGGGCAGCCGGGGGCCCCCAGCGGGGTGGGCGCGAGGCCCCACGGGGGGTCGGGAGCCCCGCGGGCCGCGTCGCCGCGCCGTGAGCCAGGTGTGGCTCTCGATGTAGCTCTCGATGTGGCTCTCGATGTGGCTCTCGACGTGCTTACCGTTTCTCCAGGGAGCACCAGCCGCAGTAAGGATCCTTGGCCTCCAGGCAGGACGAGCAGTTGGTGAAGGAGCCGCAGTGCTCCACGCGCATCCTCGACACCTGGAACGGAGACGAGACGGTCAGTTTCCAACAACAACCGAACAACAACAACAAATGCCGGGGACATGCGTGAACTTTGTAAAAGGTCCTCTAGGATGGCAAGGCCGTGATTGGATCCGCCACCGTCGTCCTGGGAGGAGAGTGGGCCCTGGCCGCGCTGGCCGCCCTGGGACAGGACGATGACTGTCTGTCGCCGGTGCGATATGAGATGCATGCTCCTCCAAGTGGGATTTAATTTGTAGCAGCTGCCAACTCGAGTTACCTCAGGAGGGCCACCCCTCGCCTTCGCCGGCCGGCGGACCATCGTCTCAAACTAATCTAAGTTTGGCCAACTCGTGCCGGAATGCGGGTCTAATCATCCCGCCACCGCGCCGCGCACCGCCCCGCCCCTCCCCGCCGCCACGCGTCACCCACGCGGCACGGACTTGTTGCTCAACTTGGACACAAAGTCCCCCACGCCGCGATGCAAGCGCCGTGCCGGGTAGGCAGCCGCGGAGCGCGCCTGTTCGGCGGGCGTGCCTGGCCGCCAGGCGGTCCGCTCGGCGGCGTGCTCGACGGTGTGCTCGAGGGCGTGCTCGGCGGCCAGCAGCGCCCCGGGGCATGTTTGCGTTGGCCAAGGTCAGAACGCTGGCTAATGCGGACGGACAAAGCCAGCCGACAAGAACAACACAAGTACAACTCGGCGGATCCCACAACTCCGGGCCGCGCTGCCTGGCCCTGCCGAGCTGCCATGCCGCCGCCCCCGGGCCGGCGGGTGGCATTCATATTTCCTTGTTCGGGTCAAACGGAACCGCGATTCCCCTCCCCCTCCTCTCCCCTTGCCACCGCTCGCGGCAGAGTTGCTCCTCGGCGACTCAAAGCTAGTGGTGCACAGTGGGCCACTAGACCGGTGGAGGCGGCCAAAGACGCGTTTTGAGCTCCTGCGCGCTGCGCGTGTGCACGGAGGATCAACACGATGACGTCACCGTGACGTCACGGCCATTTGTCACCGCGTCCGATGCACCGCCGCGATGCTTTGGCCTGCGACTCGCCGAGGATATATATGAAATTCCCGGCGACCGTTTTTATCGGCGGCCAAGCGACGTTTTATTTTCACCTTTTTCTTTCTCGTCATCCTCCTCCCTCCTCTCCTGCCCCTTCCCTCGTCTTCTCTTTCCTTGTCCCTCTCGCGCGTCGCACTGGCATGCATCATCTCTGTCTCTCTCGTTCTTTCCATTCCGAACGTGTCGCGAGGTGGATGTGTGTGTGTGTGTGTGTGTGTGTGTGTGTGTGAGTGAGTGCACGGCCTGTTGCCCGGACCGGCCAAAACGGTTCCCACGCACGAACAATGCACAGTCGTGTCGATCGGAAATGCAGCGCTCACTGCAACGTCTCGGCAAGTTCAAGTTCGCGTTCGCGCCCCAGTTCCCCCGACCGCGGTGGCGGCCGGCCACTGCAGACTGATTCCTTTCCGTCGCTCTGTCTCTCTCGCACCTAAACGGGACGCCCCACGAGTGCGAGAGAGACAGAGCGACGAAAAACGACTCTCGGAATCAGTCTGCTGGCGCGCCCCGCGGGGCGACCACTTTATCAACGTCCAACAACTAGTACTGTTTGCTTCGTTCGCCTGTGAGTCGTTTTTCTGTAAAACTGGAGCAAGCGCGTCCGTCCACCATCGACTGCATAGTGCTGTTGCGCTTCTGCGTCGCACTTGTACCCAATGCAGTCGTCGCAACACTCACTCACACACACACACACACACACACACACACACACACACACACAGCGTCCTGACACCCAGTGACAGGAGCCTGTGGGCGGAGCAGAGAGGGATCAGCCTGCGTGGCAGCACGGCACCGCGGGATCAAACAGGAGCAACACACACGCACACACACACTCACACAGGCGCACGGCCAAAGCTGCTACCGTGGCAGCTATGGAGGGTGCCTGGGCAGAATGTCAATTCGACTTTAATGAATGGTAATTCAAACGCCTGCCGGTCGAGTTGCCGCGCTGCCCGATGCTTTGCCCCTTCTCGCCCGACGGCCCCGGACGGCCCCGGACGGGGTCACTGCCTAGTTATAAAAGAGGCCGGTAATGGATGAGATAGCGCAATGCACTTGTTACAGCCGCGGCACAGCCCCACGACTCGAGCAAACAATTTCGAGAAACCACTTCTCATCCGTATTAAACCTTAAACACCTTTGTTGTTGTTGTTGTTTCTCGGTTCGGAAATACTTTTCGCGCTGGACCGGTGCTAGGCGAGCGCAGCGCCGCGGTGGCGCTTATCTGAACCAGTTCCACAACTCATCCCGCGGCCGGCCGGCCGGCCGGGCGCTAACCCTTGCCCCGACCAGCAGAGTCGTCTTCGTCGCTCTGTCTCTCTCGCACTCGTGGGGCGTCCCGTATGGGTGCGAGAGAGACGGAGCGACGACTCTCCGAATCAGCCTGCAGCCGAGGAAAGGAAACGAAACGAGTGCAGCCCGCCCGCCGTCCGTCCGGCGGTCCGGCCGGCCGGCCTCCAAATTATCAAGGCAAGGTCGTCACTCAGAGTGCACCGAAATGGGTACTAAATTACGACGCGGGAGTGCACATCGACGCGGGGACCGTCCAGGAGCGCGCTATTCGCAGTCAACATCGCAGGCGCAACGTTATTCGCAGACAAGAGGACCTCCTTATTCGCACTCGCACAGAGTCAAAGCCAACTCGAAAAACCGCCACATATGCTCTGGAGGCACGCGTCCCTCTCGGAAGCGGAAGGAGGAAGAGAGAGAGAGAGAGAGAGAGAGAGAGGGAGAGAGAGAGAGAGAGAGGCAATTACAAATGAAAGAGCCGGAAATGGCGAACATTGCCCGCGCAAAACAAAGGCTGCAGCACAAAAGACACACGCAGACCAAACCGGCCAAGGGATCAGCATGTATAATGGATAATTACGGAGGCAAAGAAATCGCGCAGCGTCTAGAATTCGCCAATCGCGGATCGCGGGCAGTGCCGGGCAGACAGTGCGCGCGGGATCAAATACCGGATGCGGTCGAGGAGAAAATGGATTCCGAGGAAAACATTTTCTGTCGTGTCCGGCTGCGCTGCGGCAGCGCCGGGAGGAGAACGATATGGGAATAAAAAGGAAAGACCGCATTACTGGACCAGCGAGGATCCATTGTTTTACTTATTATCTGTCTCCCTTGTCCCTGGCGCACCACACTCACTCACCCACACACACACACACACGCGCGGCAGCATTCACTCGCACTTTCGACTGACGTACACGCCGAACACGGCGCCGACCACCACAGCCGCCACGCCCGCCCCGACTGCTCCCTGATGGATGAATTGCATAACTGCGTGCGAGAGACGCGCTCCCTGCCTGGCGACCACCAGCGCCACCAACGGCAGCGACAGCAGGGGCGAGGTGGTACTACTGTAATAGCTCTGCTCCGTTCTGACCCGCACAGGTGCGAATTCAAACCATGTACCCTTTTTTGGCAAATTTAATTGGGAAAGTCTCTCTCCTCTCTCTCTCTCTCTCACACACACAGACACACACACAGACACAGACACACACACACACGCACAGCACAGAAATACCTTGAGAGAACACCGTCAGTGACAGTGGAGTGTCGCCACACTAAATCCATCACTCGGGGGTGTGTCGAGCCGCAGGCAGTGAGGGGCAGGCGATGCCGAAGTGCCGTTTCGTCGCTCCGTCTCTCTCGCACCCCGACGAGGTGGTCCTGGCGGCCCGTGAGTGCGAGAGAGACAGAGTGCGTGAGCCCGCGGGCTGGGAGCGCTGGGCGCTACCGTGCGCCGCCCAAATGAGACTGCCGGGCCCTTGGCCTGGCCCATCCCGGGGCTCCACTAATGAGTAAACTCCTGATTGACAGTAACAGATCGCCGACTGACCGGCACGGACCGACGGCAGCGCAGCGTCTAGAAACACGCGCAGGCGAGGCAGAAAGGCCTAAAGGTGGTGCAGCACTTCCACGAGTTGGCATTCCAGGACGACCTCCGGCATGGAGGCTCCAGGTCCATGCTCTCTCTCTCTCTCTCTCTCTCTCTCTCTCTCTCTCTCTCTCTCTCTGCACGCGCCACCTGGAGGAATGGCTGCGCAGCAGGCCAGCCAGGGGTAGCCAGCACAGGCATGCCCAACGACCAATCAAACAATTAATTATCTCCACTCATGTCCGAAGGGAGAAGCAAGGCGAGCACTTTTTTCTGGTTCTTGTTTTTTTTTTTTCGTACCTCCTGTGCACTTTGCTCCTGCCCTTAGGCCCTGCACACACACCTTCTTTTCTTTCTTCCCGACTTTTTCCGCCGCTTTTTCGAGCCGCGCCGTTTTAACCCACGCCGTATTTAGCGTTTCACTTCAGCAAGCTTCCACACATTCATTCGCAGGGTCGTTTGGCGCAGTGATAAAAACAACAACGCAAAACGAAAACGACGCCGAAAACAACAACAAAAAGGAAGCGGCAAAGACAGCAGAAGGAGTGCGATGCGCCAAAGCGTTTTCCTTGCATCCGTTATAGGCCGACCAAGTACAGAGCGGTGCGCAGTTTACGCGGGACGTCTGGGAACGACACGCACACGCACACACACACACACACGTACACACACAAACACACACGAACACGACACAATTGCCTGCCAATCGCGTAAAACAACGCCTTTGCGGCGAAGCGCCTGGGCTGGGTCCCACCTCATCAAGAAGGGAAGTCCCTCCGTCCACGCAGAGTCCACAAAGCACACGCACGGACACACACACACACACACACAGACGAGGAGAGCAAACGTGTGATAGCGACAAGAGCGTTGAAGAAGCGGCAAGACGAATTAGCCCCACGCAACGAGTCTGTGTGATGTCGGCGGCCACGGAATGTTAAAACAGAACAAAAGAATTAAATCCAGAATGATAATCATGGGACGGGCAATGCATATTACACACACACACACATCCACACACTTATCTTCTAGGAGACCGCTTATCGCGCGATAAACATACAAAGACTAACTCTACACTGACTAAT